TCAGCAGGATCATTTCTCTTCATTGCTTCACAGCCCAAAGAGCTCAGATGACACAAAGCAGGCAACAGCTGAGACTATATAAGGTACCGTCAGCCTAGGTGAACCGAGATGGGTACAGCTATTGCAAGCCCAAGAGTTTAAAGCTCCCTTAAAAATCTGCAGAGTGGGAATATCCTTCTGTGTCCAGCTGAATTGGGTGAAGTTGTTCCTCCTCACCCCAGCTCATGAGAACAGACTCTGGGATATTCCAGTAAAACTGGTCTACCTCTACAGCCCCACAGGCCTCTGTGATGCTCAGCTTTTTTGGAGGACAGATGCAGTCTGCCCGAAAGCACCCTGCTAACAAGAATGCAGAAGCCTCATGGACAACACTGCATCTCTACATCAGGTCAAGATAATTTCAGGCTCATTTGCAGCAGGGGAAAGGAAGTACAGTGATGATGCAGTCCCACCACGCTCCAACTGGTTACACTCCAGTAAGAACACGATGCTTTCCTGGGAAGAAAAGCTGCAAATTTGTGTGGAGAGGTAGGAAAGTGCAGTACTTCATTGCACAAGGCAGTTTTCTGATTTGAGGCATCTGCCAGTATTAATTATTAGGGCTGTACTGGTATCATTGCCTCTGAAAAGCCAAGTCCCATGGCTGTATCAGTACAGATTTAACATAAATGTCAAATGCAACAACAGGCTTACATAGGAAGTGTCTCATCCCCGTGCTTCACACAGAAGCACAAGTGGAGACAACTGAGGAGACAACCCAAGGTCACACAACAACTTAGAACTGTTCTTGCAAAACCCACTAAATGCTACTCTGGCTTGTTAGCACACACTAGCTTTAAAGAGTGAAGAGATTTTCAGACCTGTTGTCTGTTAAGTATCAAAAAAACCCAATAAAAGTATGGAAGCCTAATTAGAAATACTGTGGAAAAAATATTTCCTAGAAAAGCAGCTTCCCTCTGAACTCCCCCAAATGGAAAAGTCCTGAAAAAAACAGACAGATCACTGTGTCCTCACTTGTCTAGAACAAGCTCAAACATCTTTGTGCTGTGAACACCCGTGGGAGGTTACATGATTAAGGGAGAAATATTGTCTGCACCACCAGAATAAGTACTCAATGTATGAACATACCCTGAAGATATCTGACCTCTGCATTAAAGCCATAAGAGAGAGGTATCCTCCATAGGACCAGCCATGAATGCCAACACGGTCCAAATCAATAAAGTCATACTGGGATGCTAAATACTGCAGCCCTTCCACTTGGTCATCAATTTCTATTTGTCCCTGGGAGGGGAGAGAAAAAAGGTTAAGTTTTGTTAGTTCCAGACAGAAGCTACATTCTCAGTACTTCCAAACCACCTTCAGACCTTCACTGCTTCTGTTTGTGCAGCACCCAACCACACACCAGCACTCCAGTGTGCTAGTCATGCTTCAGAAAGATGATCCCTTTTCTCCACAAGACAATAAATACATGCTAACCCACCTCTTAACTATCCTTTTCTTCATTTGTCTCCTTGCTTGGAGACAAGAGTTTTCAGGTTTTTTGTCTTCCCAACACCACCAAGCCAGCAGAGCCTGGCACAGGTCTTCCCTGCCTGTATGCACAGCCAAGCACAGGAACAGCCCTAACTGGTAACCCATGCTGTGAGTGACACCACCCTGCTCCATGTCAGCAGCAAAGGAATTCTGGCAGGAGTCAGAGACCCCCTTATCAACCACCTTGCATCATGCTGGCCAAGCTGGAGTGGTTCACAACCTCAAACCCTGAGACTGTCTCTCTCCCACAAGGAGTCTCTTCCCTCCCTCAAATCCACACTGCACAGCTACACATCATTCCCCTCCCCAGACCTTGGCAGCATCTGTTCAACCCACTGCTTCAGCTCAGGTAACACTGAGACTCAAACCTGTCTCTGGCTGAAAACAAAGAGCCAGAGACAGAGCTCCACTTACCATTTTGTATTTAAAGGCTCCTTCAAACTTCAGCCCTCGGTGGCAGGATCCCCTGTTGTCAATGACAACAACAACGTAGCCCAAAGAGGCCAAAGTGTTCAAGCGGAAATACTTGATTCCTTTAAACCGGTTGTTCACTAACTGCACCTGGAGCAGAAGAGCAATGACACCATCACACCTGTGCTGGAATCCAGAGATCAACTCTTCATCCAATTTCAGATTTTATTTATATTTCCTTCCTTTGAATACTTTATACATTTTTATCATGTAAAGTTTTCAAGATCCCTACTCCCAGTTGCAGGATCCCCCCTCCCTACTTGTGGTCTCCTATGAAATAAACTTTCTTCTCCCTTAACAGGCCATTCTGTCTCAGACACAAAGAGCTGAACTGAGTTCCACTGCAGCACAGAGCAAGAGGGGCAGCAGCTGACAGCACAACCCAGCCCTGAGCCTGCAGCCCTGCTCTCCAATCCTGCCCAGGAGAAAATCCCTTCACCAAGCCTCACTCCAGCTGCCTTGGACAGCAGGGAACAGCAGAGTTGGGGGTACCAAGGCAGGGCTAAGAGGATCTGTTCTCTGCTCACCCATGGTAAAAGGAGGACTGTGGAGCGAGCTCTGCTGAGTACACACTGGAAATAGTCAATGCTCACAGAGCACCCCTCACATACACATGGGGGAACTGGAAACAAAGAACGGGAGACCCCACAGAGAAAGGGGAGGTAGAAAAGGAAACAGAGACTACCTGCACTCCTCCTTCTCTCAGTTCCAGCTGTGCTACTCCATATCTGTTCTCAGACAAGCAATCTATGACCTGGAACTCATGACTGTTTACAACCCTTTGGCCAGGCAGCTCCTCCGAGCAGACAAAGCACTGCAGGCTATCCTCAGCACAGAGCAGGACCTGTGCACCGAGAGGAGTGGAGTGATCCTGGCCCCACCAACATGCTGCACCCACCTGAGGACCTCCATAGATGAAGAGCACAGTGGGGTACTTCTTTCCAGGTTGCAGATTGTGAGGTTTGTACATCATGCCATAGAGTGTAAATCCAGTGGAGCTCTCAAAGGAGAACACTTCTGGGGGAATGTAATCAGGAAGAGGACCTGCCACAGGAGGGAACAGAGAGCCTGGTTGAAGAGGGAATGGATGAATAATGCAGCTCTGCTTCAGCCCCCATCACCCATCTCACTGCAAGCCCAGTGGAGCTCTCCTATGCTTCCCAGTGGATGTGGCTGGGACCAGGCAAAGACTGGGAATGCCCCAGGCCTAGAGAAACTTTCTCAGCCCTATCAGGTTCCCGTCTTTGCTCTCCTCGGAAG